GGAGACATACAGGTGTCAGGAGGCTTGGGGAGAGAGGCAGTAGCCAGGAAGGCTCCCGCAGAAAGGAACTGAGACCAACTCTGCAGGACCAACAGTCTACGCTAATGCAAAGAACTTTGTGGGGTGACCTCGAAACCCTATTTTTTTCAAAGATTTGTTTATTTGTTTGTTTATTCATTGGAAAGTCAGATATACAGAGAGGAGAAGAGGCAGAGAGGAAGATCTTCTATCAGTTGATTCACTCCCAAAATGGCTGCAACAGTCAGAGCTGAGCTGATCCAAAGCCAGGAGCCTCTTCCAGGTCTCCCATATGGGTGCAGGGTCCCAAGGCTTTGGGCCATCCTTGACTACTTTCTCAGGCCACAGGCAGGGAGCTGGATGGGAAGAGGGGCTGCCAGGATTAGAACCAGCACCCATATGGGATCCTGGTGCATGCAAAGTGAGGACTTTAGCCACTAGGCCATGGCACTGGGCCCTTCAGAACCCATCTTAACCACACAAAATATACAGCCTGCTTCCCGGTGCAGCTGAGCTGGCTCCTAGAAAAACAATGATCCCTTGGCAAGCAAGGGACCACAGCTACAGGTCAGGGCAGGATTTCCCAGGGATTAGATCTTGCCTGCCTTCACAAAACAGAGTGAAGACTACAGAAGGGGAAGACCCGCCCAGGCACAGTGGACGGAGCCCAGATGAAAAGTGGCAGAACTGGAATGTGCACCAGGGTTGTCTGACTCCAAAGCCACACGTTCTCACCACAGAGCTCCTCTCTGAGCTACCTGCCTTCCCTCCATGGGCGCCCCACTCCTGGCAGGCAGATGTGATAAGGGTAGTTGACTGACCAACATGCCTCACTCCTCCAGCTTCTGGCTCTTCCTTTTTAGGTTAAAAACAATGCATGACTTGGGGCCGCACGCACTGATACAGACCCAAGTGCAAATGGAGGAGGAGGAATCCAGCCTTGGGTCACGAAGGATTAAGTCACTTCTCTGCTGTGACATCAGCATCCAGTATTGAGGGGTCAGAATCCTGGATACTCTGCTTCCCATCCAGCTTCCTTTTCATGCACTGTGGAAGGCCCTGGAAGATGTCCCAAGTGTGTGAGTCCCTGCCACCCATATGGAAGGTCCTGAGGGAATCCCTGACTCCTGGTTTTGGCCTGGTCCATCCCTGACCATTGTGGCTTTTGGGGGAGTGAACCAGCAGAGGGAAAAAAAATTTCTCTCTATGTGTTTTTTTCTTACTCTTTCTCTGCCTTGCAAATAGACAATCTTCAAAAACAAAATAAAATAAAAAGAGGAAAGAGCTTGAATGTGAGGGGTTGGAGGAGGGCAGAGGGGGCAGAGTCTCAGGGCCCCTGCCACAGAGAGGCAGTGCTGGTCTCCTGCCACAGGGAAGCAGTGCTGGGCCCCTGCCACAGGGAGATAGTAATGGACCCCTGCCACAGGGAGGCAGTGTTGGGCCCCTGCCACAGGGAGGCAGTGCTGGGCCCCTGCCACAGGGAGGTAGTACTGTACCCCTGCCACAGGGAGGCAGTGTTGGGCCCCTGCCACAGGGAGGCAGTGCTGGACCCCTGCCACAGGGAGGCAGTGCTGGGCTTTGACCACAGGGAGGCAGTGCTGGGCCCCTGCCACAGAGAGGCAGTGCTGGTCCCCTGCCACAGGGAGGCAGTGCTGGGCTTTGACCACAGGGAGGCAGTGCTGGTGCCCTGCCACAGGGAGGCAGTGTTGGGCCCCTGCCACAGGCAGGCAGTGCTGGTCCCTGGCCACAGGGAGGCAGTGCTGGGCACCCAAGGCTTTCCAATGCTTGGCCACCAACAAGCAGCCCTGCAGCTGACATGAAGACTCTTGGGCCACACCTGAAGACACTGATCCTGGAAGTTCAGGATGGCAGCACAGAATCTGTGTTTTGACAGGCTCCTGGGGTGATGCCTTTCTGGAAGTCTTCCTCCTCTGCTTTTAACAGACATTGATAAAGTGACAGGTTTTGAGCCCTGGACCTGAGTTCAAATTCCCCTCTGCCTCCTAGCAGGTCCCAGGTCTTGGGTGAGGGGTTTTCTCAGCTTCTCCAAGCCTCAGCTGAGCGGAAGGCAAAACCTGAGACTGGTTTCTTTTCATTCTTGGATTCTAGAGCCCAGCCGTCGACTGCAGTGACAGAATATAGTGTGTGTGTGTGTGTGTGTGTGTGTGTGTGTGTGTGTGTGTGTGTGTCAGCACCGATGAATCCAGCTAGGCATCTGAAACAGCAGGTAAGAGACCCCTTGGGACACCTGCACCCAAGTCACACTGCCTGGTGGAAGTCGCTGCTTCCAAGCCAGCTTCCTGCCAAGGCATATCGTGGCAAGGCAGCCACTTCAAGTGCAAATACCTACTTGGATCCCTGACACCCACATGAGAGATCCAGGGTGAGTCCCAGGCTCCAGGTTCCAGCTGTCCCAGCCTCTGGCTACTGGTGGGCCTTCAGTCTGGGTAGGAAACCAGCAAAGGGAGGTTCTCTCTTGGTGTTGTCTCTCTGCTTCTCAAGCAAGAATTTTAACAAAATGAGTTATCCCAGCGTGTGTCTGGGAGATACAGCGGCGATAGCTTGTGGCCCATGTTGGGGCCAGCAATGGGTGCCCCAATGGATCACACGACCAGCTCCAGCCCCAGGGCACACAGGCTCTGAAGGGCTCCCTGCGCTCCTCCAGGGCTGCAAGGCGGCTGTGCCACCAGCCCCAGCGAGCCCGGCTGGGTCCTGAGCCTCCCTGGCCGCCCTACCCTGGGCGAGCTGAGTCATGGAAAAAGTGAGTGCTCAGGCTGCAGCTTACCTCTCCCCTGGTCCACAAAGGTTGCTTTCAGACTTTCAGCAGAGGAATGGAAAAAAAAAAAAAAGCCTGGCGGGGGACCTTGGCCAAGGCCTGGAACATGAAATTTCCAAGCCTGCCCCATGGAACCAGAGACAGTAGCAGGACCAGACCCAGACTGCCAGGCTGGGTGCCTGCCCAGTATCTCCTTGCTCCCACCTTCCCAGGGCCTGGGCCACCATCAGCCTGGGCTGGCCTCTGCAGCTGCCAGCTCCAGCCGCACCCAGAGCCCCCAGGGCCAGCACCAAGCAACTGAGCTGCAGCTTCCTCACCCTGAGCGAGCCCAAGCACAAGGATCTGAATGCCAGAGCCATCCTGCGTCTCACTCCTTCCCACCCCCCGGCACCCCCGCAGCCCACACACACACACACATCCTGTGGACTGGCCCGTCATCTGAGCAGGCTCCCAAGTTCCTGGATGACCTCTGCGCTGTCTCCTCCAAAACAGACCAGGGGCAGGGAGGGAGGCAGCTAAATTCTTCTAGGCTGGTGGTGCCCACCTAGCTGGAAGAGAAAGGCCGGCTGCGGGCACAGCGGAGGCAGGAAACGCAGTGTGCCACTGTGGCCACGAGGAGGCCTCTAGGATAACAGATGAGGCGGCCCAGTTCCCTGGAAGCTGCAGAGCCGCCCAGGTCCCAGGCTACACTGGCCGGTGGAAAGGGCCTGTCCAGGGCTGGGATTTCTCCCTCATTCCTCCAGACCTCGGAGCAGGCCGGAGGAAGTCCCTGTGATGGCTGGCTACCATCAGCCCCGGGAGGCTCGGGTGCTTGGTGCTGGCTCTGGGGGGCTCGGGGTGAAGATGGCCACTTTTGGAGGTCAGGACGAGCAGCCGTGAGAGTGTGCTGGGCCACTCTGTTGTCCTGTCTGCCAGAGTAGGGGTGAGAAGCGAAGATCACCAGCTCTGGATCTGGATCTCCCTTCCCTCGCTGCCCCCACACGCGCACACACACACACCTTAGCCCTACGCTTGCTGTGTGTTCACCTGGGAGAATGGGGTCATCACGCCTCGTGGAGGGCTCAGTGAGGGGATTGGACATCAGCATCCAGGCCCCCGCCCCCCAACGCGGGACAGCTCTTCCCAATTTGTGCTTCTTTTTTTTTCTGCTCCCAATCCCTTGGGAAGCAGGCGCTTAACCCGCACAGCCACAGGCCAGGCGGTCCCTGCCCCAGGGCCTCAGGGGCCCCCACGCCAGCGCTTCTGCAGAAGGCTTTCTCACGGGGCCCTGCCAGTGCACGCAGAGTGTCTGGAGGTGGGGCTCGGAACCGGTCCTGGGCCGCTCCCTGCTCACTCTCGCTCCTGCCAGGCGTGCCTCTCAGCACTGGGGCTGGGCTCCGTGACTCACCTCCCAGACTTCCGGAGCAGCGAGCCCAGCGCCACTCTGCAGCGGCGAGACGGGCTCGTGGGCCGTGCGCCAGGGCAGGAGGGTCTAAGGAGGGTGCCCCCCAGGACAGCCCCTCAGGGAGGAGCGGGGGCCGGCCCAGCACACGGGGGGGGGCAGGTGGAGGTCGCGTCCCGTTCACAGGCTTTTGTTACTAAGGAAATTGCCGTCCGTCAAGGTAACCAGCCCAGCCATAAACACGCTCCCAGCTAATCCTATGGGGATTTTATTGGCAGGTAGGGCGGTAGGGCCTGCCCATTCCCAAAGCCAAACTCCCGCTGCCCAGCGGCGCCCCCTGCTACCTTCCCCGCCCCCGGGGTAACCTGGGGGGCTTGGAAGATTCTGAGAAAGGATGCCCAGCGCCGGGAGGACCGACGCGGCCCCCAAGCCAGGGCGTGAGGCGTGGCTGGGCCAAGGTGGGGGCGTGGACGACCACGGGAGAGGAGTGGCCGGGCCAAGCTGGGGGTGTGGCTTCCTGCTCGCACCCCCTGGCAGGGGATGACCCAACGACTCGACACAAACCCCGGGTGACCCCGGCTGGCTCGAGGCATGCGCCAACTCCCCCGGGCCTGCCCCGCACGCAAGCCCCGGTGGTCACCTGGCTCGGGCAGGGAGCTGGCTCGCTGCAGTCGGTTCCAGTGCTTTCGAGTTCCAGCTACGAGCCCTCGGGGGCACGGGCGGCATGCCCCGGCTTGCAGAGACGGGAGCCGGTCCCGGGCGAACCGCGAGTCGCGGCGAGCCCGTGTGCGCGCCCAGGCGCGCGCCCCGCCACGGCGCAGGGGGAGGGGAGGCCGCAGCAGCCACTCAGAGGAACGGTAGTGAGGCCTGCGAACAACTTCAACTGTCAATCAGACTTAATGGGGTATTAAAAAAAAATGGGGTGGGGGTGAAGGAGCCGCCCTCTCGCTCCGCGCCACGGCTACCCAGGGGAGCGAATGCATAAGGAGGCGCGGAGCTGGGCGTCCGATCCACGCGCGCTCCGCGCCCCGGCCCCTCTCCAAGTTGGAAAGGACAAAAAGAAGGCAATAAATGCTCCAGGGGAGAGAGCGAGGAGGGAGAGGGAGCCGGATCGAGCGGCAACTCCCAGCCGCCGCTGGAGGAGCGCGAGGCAGAGCCGGAGGCAGGCAGCGGCGGGGAGCGAGCGCGCGCGAGGGCGAGCCCAGCACGCAGGGAAACTGACACCGGGACCCCCGCTTCTCCCGCGCGCCGCTGGCAAGCAGACCGCGCTGAAGCAATTTCCTGAGCCCGAGCGTAGCCCTGGGCCGGCCGGCTCGCGCGGATCACAGCCGGAGCGCCCAGCCACCCCCCACCCCACCCCCGGACTTTATTCTTCCTGGAGAAGGGGGCAGACGCGCCGCTATTTGGAAACAGCCTGGTTGTTTTGATTTTTTTTTTTTAACCTTGCACTTTGAGACCGCGGGGCTGGAGCCGGGTGCGCGCGTGTGGTTGGTGCCTTTTTTTTTTTTTTTTTTCTTTCTCTCCTGCCCCAGCCTAAACTCTGGCAGCCTGTAAACACGACCTGCGAGTTCCCCCGCCGAGACGGCGGCCCGACCAGAAACTTCTGCTTCTAGCTTCACACCCCCGCCCTTGCTGGCTCCCCCGGCCGCCCCGCTCGCCGCCCCAACCTCCGAGACGCCGTCCTGTTCCCGAGGATTTGTTCTTTTTACTCTTTTTTTTTCTTCCCCCTCGCCCCACCTCGTCCGGCGTGTTGCATTTGGCTGGGAAGAGGTGATCTCCAGAGCGCCCAGGTGGGACGCTTCGCTCCTCCTTATTCGGCTTATTTATTGCTGTGTGGGCTGTTTTCTTGTTTGCATTCCTGTTTGGCTCGGGCTGAAGAGTCTTGCCCCCTGCCCGGCGCCGCGGCGCGCAGGATGATGTGGAAGTGGCTGGGAGCGCTGGTGGTGTTCCCTCTACAGATTGTCTACCTGGTGGCCAAAGCGGCCGTGGGGCTGCTGCTGCCCGCCAGGCTGCGGGACCTGTCGCGGGAGAGCGTGCTCATCACCGGCGGCGGCAGAGGCATCGGGCGTCAGCTCGCCCGCGAGTTCGCGGAGCGCGGCGCCAGGAAGGTACGCGGCTCCCTGGGGTTGGGCAGGGGGCTGAGCGGGACGGAGCCCCCCGGGTTCAGGTTCGGGCTCGGGGTGCGGCCACCTGCTGCGGCCGGCCACCGCGCTCTCCTGCGTCCCCCCGCGAGCGCCGAGCTGACGCGGCTCACCTTGGGCATCCCCCCGGCACCGAGGCGTCTCTCTCTCTCTCTCTCTCTCTCTCTCTCTCTCTCTCTCTCTCTCTCTCGGTGTTGGGGACAGGTCCTGAGCTAAGCCCGTCGTTTGGGGCTCGGGTGTCTGGCGGGCTGCGCACCCCCATCCCGAAACTTAGGGAGGATCCACTGTTTCCCGGTACCCCCGGCCCCCATGTAAGGACCCCAGCCCGCGCAACCCTGGCCTTGCCCTCTGCGCCAACCACCCCGGGGAGGGCAGGGCAGGGCGGGTGCACGCCTTGGTGCAATTGGGAGCCGCCTGCTAGCTGGCGCGGTGTATTTTCCTTGGCAACGCGCTCGCCAGCTCCAACCTGGGCGGCTGCAGCCCTGAAGTCACACTGTGAGAGGGGGCGCTGGACCCGACTGCGGTTGTCGCCTGGGCTGCGGGGCCTTAGGAGACCAGGTGTTCGAGAGCGGGTGGAGAGCCCTGGGGCTCACCTTCAAGGCTGACCCTTCCCCCAGACAGCCCTAGCGCCGGGGTCTTGCCCCTGCGGGGGCGAGGCGGCCCTCCCTGCCCTCCACCTGCCCAGCACCTCGGGCGGTGCAGTGGGCCAGCCGGCTGTCACCCAGCGCCCGGCTCAGCCAGGCTGACTCACGCAGTGACAAGGGCCTCGGAGAATGGGATTTGGGGCCGCCAGGCCGGGCCGTCTCCAGCCGGCCCTGAGGAGGGGAAGAGGGGAGAACGGGGAATTAGTCTGAAACTGCAACTGTGGAGAAGGGGCCAGGGAAGCCAGCTGATCTGACACGGAGCCACATACCTTGGGGATTAAGTAAATATGTACTGTGGAAAACCAAAGCTGCATGTAATTCCAGGTTGCTTTTGTTTTGTTAAATACTGCCCGGAGATTTACAATTCCTCCCGGGTGGCTCGGCTGGGGTTGTACTTTGGAGCCGGAGCTATCGGCCCAAGCCGGTGGCCGATTAACTCTTTCCTAGCCAAGCTAGCAGGGCACCTCCTGGGGTGGCCAGGCTGGCCACGACTCCCTCTTCTCCTTGGGTGGTTCGGACAGCTGCTTGACCTTGCACTTGGAAGGGGAGTTCGGAAGTGGTCTAGGGGAAGGGAAAGGGGGGATAGGGCCATGTCACCCCATTGCAGAGGACTCCCCAAAGCCCTCTACGAATGGGGGGTGGGAGAGCCGCCGGGACCCTCCTGGGGAGGGGACTGTTTGGGACACTGTGTGGGATTGCCATTCCTTTGCTGTCTGCCTGTCCCTCCCCTCACCGCCCCCCCCCCCGCCCCTAACTCCTCCAGCTGGCTCGGGTCCTGGGTCTCACTGCTCTGACTGCAAGTAGGCTTATGCAGAACTCTCCGTCGAGCTGGAAAAACTTGACCGACTATAAACAATGCTAAATTGAAAGAAGTCTATGGCTTTTGGGGGTTAGGGGTGCTGAGAGGAGCCCCAAGTTCCTGTCCTGGAAACCGTGGCCCGCCTAAGCCCCGGGGACTTCCTCGTTCAGGAAATAAGCCTGGTGGGTCCAGTGAGAGTGGTGTCCTCGTGGTCAGCTGGTGACAGGGTCACCCCACGCGGGACCCACAGCTTTGGAGAGCCCCAGGAAGCCTCCCCCGCTGGCCCTGCTGTGTTCGGTCATCTGCACTGAGCCTGGTGACCACCAGCGCTTGCTGTAACTGGTAATTATCTGACCAATTACCGCAGCTACTCTTTAATGAGGCTCTGCCTGCTGCCACGGTGGGGGATTTGGAATAGCTCCTGTTGGCCCAAGTCCCGGGGGGGGGGGGCAGGAAGGGACGCGGGACAGCTCCCAGAGGCTGTGGAGGCCCCATGGGCTGGGGCCGAAAGGTCAAGCATTTGGGGACAGGTGTGAACAGCAGGCTCGGGGATGGCCTGGGAGGACCCAGGACACTGTTTGATGGCAGTGGGTGGGTGGGGGGAGGCGTCCCTCAAGGCAAGGCAGGGAAAGGGGTGTGGAGGCCTGGATCCTGGCAGAGCTGGGGGTCGGGGGGGGGGGGGCAGTGAGAGAAAGCAGCACCGAGTGTGTGCAGATGGACCTGGGGTGGGAGTGGCAGCTTGGGTGACCCTGAGTTGGACAGGATTTGGCACTGTTGGAGGATGGCACTGCGCCCTCAGCTGCAGAGCCATGCCAAGCAGGGGCTTGGCTAAAAGCCACACAGAGCTCCTGGGAATCAGAAAGTTCCTGATTCCAAGGCGGCTGCACCGCCCCAGGGTGCCTTTAGGTAAACAGAGGCAGGGCCGATCTCTGGGTCTCTAGGGGAGGGCCACAGCCTGGTGGGTCCCCTACTGCCCTCCAAAGCCTTGGCGCTGGGTGCGGTGCTAGTCGGAGTCCCTAGGAGAGCAGGTGTTTTGGGGGCAGTTCCCATAGCTCTTCCGATCTGGGTCTGGGATTGAGCCAGACAAGAGCCCCACACCTCCAGTGCCAGGCTTGGCACCTCCAGGAGGGCGGTGGGCGGTGGGCACCTGGCCGGGACCTGGTCCTTTGCATGCACCAGGAATCCTCTCCACTCACATGCTCACAAGCCCCGTGTCCTTTTTGACCCGACTCGGGCTACCCCTGGACTAGGGTCTCCTTGATACCCACCCTGAGAAGCCCAGCAAACCCACCCGGAGTGTACTGTGCAGAGCTGGGGGGCTCTAGGGGTTGTGGGGGAGACTTGTGGGAGGACCACAGAGGCGGCGCCAGGACCAGACCTCGCCAGCTGGGTGGCTGGAAAGGCAGAGACGGGTTCGCTCATGCTCTGGAGGCCGCGGCAGCAGGCCCGCTCCCACCGCCCTCCGAAGGTGCCGCCGCCCCCTGCTTCTGGAGCTCCAGCTGCCAAGGTCCTCTGCCCCCAGCTTCTGTCTTCGTGTGGCCCCCCTCTGAGTGTCTCTGTCCTCTTGTTAGAAGGACATTGGTCTCCGGACTTGGGGTCACACCAAATCCAGTGTGAGCATCTCTGGGGATCCTTAACTATTAAGACCCTTTTTCCAAGCAAGACCACTTTCTCAGGTTTGAGGAGGATGTTGGGGGTGGGGACAGGGTCCAGTGGGAGCACGGTGAATCCAAAAAGGCTTCCTGGAGGAAGCAGCTTTTGCATAAACCTCGAAGGTCAAGAGTTTCAACCGGAAGGAGCGTGAGCAGAGCAGTCCAGGTGCAGGTTGCTGATCTGAGCTCCAGCTAGGGTCAGGAGGGCAGCAGGAACAGAAGGAGTGGGTGCTGTGGGCTTGGGGGCACCTGGGACTGCCAGGCCGCAAGAATCTCCTGAAATGATTGACACAGGAGTGCAACCCATGCTCTCTGTCGCCCCGCCCTTCCAGAAGTCTCCCAGGAGGTTGGATTGCAAGTCTCTGGGAGTTGGTTGCAAACAATGGGCTTTACAATCTGAGCAGTCTCCTGAATGGACACACACCTTCCTCTTACTTCCCCTGGCCTTGGGGTTCAAAGGTGCTCACTTCTGGGGCCACGCCCCCTGTGCCCTAGTTCACCTGGGCCAGAGGCAGGGTCATGACCCCGAAGAAGCCACCACTTCTCCCAGAGACACCAGATACACCTGCAGAGCAGGAGAGGCCCAGGGCCTCTCCAGGTCTCACCCTGAGGATGGGGTCCTCAGCCCAGAGCCACGTTGCCGGGACCCAGGGTGGGCGGGTGGGCCGGGCAGGGGGTCTCCCAGGGCAGGGCGTGTCTGAGATCACAGGGTCCCACGGGCCAGTGTTCCCTGATGGTAGCGTCCAGCACATCAGTTTCCTGTTTTGAATCTTAACTCGGCTGGGCCTGAGCCCCGTCCTCCTTCCCCTCCTGTTCACTCTTAAGAACTCACACTCTCTCGGGCGACACCTGTCAGGCCAATGGACAGCTGTTTCTGCCTGAGCTGTTAGGTGGGTTGAGTGGGTTTTTTTTTTTTTTAAGGTATTTTTGTTTGAAAGGCAAAGTTAGTTCCACCTGTTGATTTACTTCCCCGAAAGGCTGCAACAGCTGGGGCTGGGCAAGGCTGAAGGCAGGAGCTACAACGGGGTCTCCCAGGTGGGCGGTAGGGACTGTTATAGGCACCAGGGCCTGTTATGTCCTTTTTAAAAATTTTTGTTATATGAGACAGCAGTTTCGCAAGCAGTGGCTTAGCATGCTATGCCACAGCATGGGCGCCAGAGGCTGTTTGTCTTGCGGGCGTCACGCAATGGGAGTGACCTCAGGAATAACTAGAAAGACCTTGTCACTCGCTGCCATCACCACCAAAGTCCTGTGTCATTTGGGGGAATCCTTGCAGCAGGGATTCCCAGCCCAGCGTTCTCCCACCCATCCCCGTCCTGGGACGGAAATGTGAATGCTCAGCACCCCTGTCTTGGTGTGAGACCTCTGTCATTACTGCCTTAGGAGACACAGCCCGGGAGGCCAGGGCTCGAAGATGCTTCCAACACGATCAGATGGAGCGTGGAGGACAGACGTGGAGACGGGGGACAGTGGGAACCACCCGGAAGGGAGGAAGGTCGCTCTGGACACGCGTGTTCTGAGCTGTTCTGGTCTGCTGTGGCATATCAAGTGTTTTTCTATAAGAAAGTGCCCAAGTCCCAGGGCAGGTCCACAAACTGGCAGTGGGCAGAAACTTGTGCTTTTACTATTCATACCTTGACCTTGAACTCTGCCTGAGCACCTGTGATGTGCCAGGGGACATTTGGGATCCAACAGGGAAAAACCCCTCACCCTCCTGCCCAGGAGAGCCGCACATAGGGAGGGAGGCAGCGCGGGCTGGCCGCCAGGTCGGTCCACACACTGTGAGTGTGGGAGGACGGGGTGGGACGGGGAGGGAAAAGGGGCAGAGGAGGCACTCGCAGTGTAGACCCGAGGTCTGGCCTTGGCTCTGGC